AAAACTGGGTCAATGCGTCGTGCCAGAACATTTTCCTCGTCGGAATCCATTTTACACATTTACGAATCTACCATTCGCCCGTGCATTGAATACTGTTGCCACATCTGGCCTGGTGCTCCTGTTGCACATTCACAGGAAATCTACTTCCAAAGCGATGGAAAAGTGACTGAATACGAGATACTAGGTCAGGACCAATTATATAAATTTATATCTTTGTATTTTATCAAGATTTTCTAAATACATAGGAGAAGCACAAGACCATATGTGGCAACAACACCCAATTCATATCGAAAGACAACAATAAAAGAAGATGAATTGTAATGACAGAAGATAACGATTAAAAATTCATTCAAATTTTTTAAATCAAAATTGACAGGAGAGCAGTAAGCCAAAAGAGATATCTACACACGAGAATTGAGAGAGAAGAAACTATTAGCATAGAACTTACGGTTACATCTCGCCATTCCAACCGTAAAATGATGAGACTTTAACGTCAATCTCGTGTTTAAATTCATAAAGTCGAGATATCGAAGAGTCAGGTTCATCACAACAACGAAGAAAAGATTTATAGAATAGTCACAAGAAAACTACATTAGAATATTGCTGCCACATATGGTCACGTGTTCTTGATATATATTTAGAGACGCGTGATATAATCCAAACAAGAATTTGTCATGGGTCCTCACCTAACATTTTGGTTTCAGTCTCTCTGTCACGTCGTAATGTAGCTTTACTGTGACTTCTTTATAAATCTGTCTATATTTGAGATGAGGTATTATGTACATTATTTACATTATTCGGACTATTCTCCTCATCTTTGTCGCCATATTTATTACAACGTTTCGGCCGTTGTACGCTGCGGTCTTCTTCAGGTGGTTGGAATTTCGAAGGACACATGGCACAGTGGATAAAGGCGTTGGTTAGATCCAGTGACAGGACCCAAAAGAGTGTGAGTTCAATACCCGGTTTAGGCAGTGGAGAACTTTCAGAGGGAAATTAGCAGGAGATAACTGATAACTGACATCCATCAAACATGGCACGTGGAACTAGAACAGTCTACTCCAGTGAGCGAAATAAAGGGTCCAGTCCGAAATTCCAACCACCTGAAGAAGGCCGGAGCGTACAACGGCCGAAACGTTGTGATAAATATGGCGACAAAGATGAGGACAATAGTCCGAATAATGTAAATAATGTTCTTTATAAATATTTTCAAGGTAATTGTTCTGATGAGCATTCCTCAATGATACCTATACTCGATCAATTTAAGTGCAATACTAAATTGGCGATAAGGTCTCATCATTTTACACTTGAAATGACTAGATATAACCGTAAGTTCTATGCTAATAGTTTCTTCACTCGCACTTATCGCTTGTGGAACATTCTGCCGGCTTTTTGCATTTCCTTGAAGTTTGATCTTAACAAAAATTCAATTGCATTGTCAATCGTTATCTTCTGTCTTCTTAATTCTTGTTCTTTTATTGCCCTCTCTCCTTAATAGTAGTTTTTTTCATATCCTCTAACACTCAGTAACCCCTTGCGTCCTAGTGGCTTTATTGCCTTTGATCTTCAAAAATTCAAATGCAATGTCAATCGTTATCTTCTGTCTTCTTAATTCTTGTTCTTTTATTGTCCTCTCTCCTTAATAGTAGTTTTTTTCATATCCTCTAACACTCAGTAACCCCTTGCGTCCTAGTGGCTTTATTGCCTTTGCTCTTCAAAAATTCAAATGCAATGTCAATCGTTATCTTCTGTCTTCCTAATTCTTGTTCTTTTATTGCCCTCTCTCCTTAATAGTAGTTTTTTTCATATCCTCTAACACTCAGTAACCCCTTGCGTCCTAGTGGCTTTATTGCCTTTGATCTTCAAAAATTCAAATGCAATGTCAATCGTTATCTTCTGTCTTCTTAATTCTTGTTCTTTTATTGTCCTCTCTCCTTAATAGTAGTTTTTTTCATATTCTCTAACACCCAGTAACCTCTTGCGTCCTAGTGGCTTTATTGCCTTTGATCTTCAAAAATTCAAATGCAATGTCAATCGTTATCTTCTGTCTTAATTCTTATTCTTTTATTGTCCTCTCTCCTTAATAGTAGTTTTTCATATTCTCTAACACCCAGTAACCTCTTGCGTCCTAATGGCTTTATTGCCTTTGATCTTCAAAATTCAAATGCAATGTCAATCGTTATCTTCTGTCTTAATTCTTGTTCTTTTTATTGTCCTCTCTCCTTAATAGTAGTTTTTTCATATCCTCTAACACTCAGTAACCCCTTGCGTCCTAGTGGCTTTATTGCCTTTGCTCTTCAAAATTCAAATGCAATGTCAATCGTTATCTTCTGTCTTCCTAATTCTTGTTCTTTTATTGCCCTCTCTCCTTAATAGTAGTTTTTTCATATCATCTAACACTCAGTAACCCCTTGCGTCCTAGTGGCTTTATTGCCTTTGCTCTTCAAAAATTCAAATGCAATGTCAATCGTTATCTTCTGTCTTCCTAATTCTTGTTCTTTTATTGCCCTCTCTCCTTAATAGTAGTTTTTTTCATATCATCTAACACTCAGTAACCCCTTGCGTCCTAGTGGCTTTTTGCCTTTGATCTTCAAAAATTCAAATGCAATGTCAATCGTTATCTTCTGTCTTAATTCTTATTCTTTTATTGTCCTCTCTCCTTAATAGTAGTTTTTTTCATATTCTCTAACACCCAGTAACCTCTTGCGTCCTAGTGGCTTTATTGCCTTTGCTCTTCAAAAATTCAAATGCAATGTCAATCGTTATCTTCTGTCTTAATTCTTATTCTTTTATTGTCCTCTCTCCTTAATAGTAGTTTTTTTCATATCCTCTAACACTCAGTAACCCCTTGCGTCCTAGTGGCTTTATTGCCTTTGATCTTCAAAAATTCAAATGCAATGTCAATCGTTATCTTCTGTCTTAATTCTTATTCTTTTATTGTCCTCTCTCCTTAATAGTAGTTTTTTTCATATTCTCTAACACCCAGTAACCTCTTGCGTCCTAGTGGCTTTATTGCCTTTGATCTTCAAAAATTCAAATGCAATGTCAATCGTTATCTTCTGTCTTAATTCTTATTCTTTTATTGTCCTCTCTCCTTAATAGTAGTTTTTTCATATCCTCTAACACTCAGTAACCCCTTGCGTCCTAGAGGCTTTATTGCCTTTGATCTTCAAAAATTCAAATGCAATGTCAATCGTTATCTTCTGTCTTAATTCTTATTCTTTTATTGTCCTCTCTCCTTAATAGTAGTTTTTTTCATATTCTCTAACTCCCAGTAACCTCTTGCGTCCTAGTGGCTTTATTGCCTTTGATCTTCAAAAATTCAAATGCAATGTCAATCGTTATCTTCTGTCTTCTTAATTCTTGTTCTTTTATTGCCCTCTCTCCTTAATAGTATTTTTCTCATATTCTCTAACGCTCAGTAACCTCTTACGTCCTAGTGACTTCATCAACTTTTATCTGCAAAAATTCAAATGCAATATCAATCGTTATCTTCTGTCTTATTAATTATTGTTCTTTTATTTTCTCGCGTTTTAATATTTTTTTTATTCTTTTACACTTAGTGAAAGTGTAAGTGGCTTTTTTGCCTCGCTTGGGGTGAAATGATTTTTTAAAATCTTTAAAGGAAATTATCAACATTTTTTTTTTTTTCACAATCTGAAAGTCTTCACAAAACTAAATTTTATTCTAATTTCATTTTCTCATTCAGGGCATAACGTTAGGCCACTTAAAATTGAATTCTCAAACGATTTGTGTTCTTTGGGGACTTCTCTTTAAAAATGTAAATATTAAATGTTCAAATGATCTTTAAAGATTTCTAAAAAAATTTAAACACTGGTTAAGATTACCTCTAAATCTCCGTAAGTTCTACAATTTTTTTTTTTCCAAAATTCCCTTTTCATAAATAAATTCAATTATAAATAAATAAGTATAGAAAACGTGCGCGTAGTCGGGGGCTGTTTATTCTCCATTTTTAATCGTCTCTCTTTCTTTCTTTCTTTCTTTCTTTCTTTCTTTATATTCCCTTTAAACGTTTCTTTCTTTTTTTCTTCTTCTTCTTCTCCCTGTTTTTTCGTACGTTATCACTCATTTTTTTTGTCTTTTTTTTTACTTTTCTCTCTGCCTTCGGTCTTTTGAGTTATTTTCTCTTAAAGTATCACTCATTTTTTAATTTTTCTTTTTTCCTCTTTCCTTTCTTCCGTTCTTCATTTTTTTTAATTTTTTTTTTCTTACGCTATCATTTTATAACTTTTCTTCCTTTCTTTCTACTTCTTTCCTTGTTTTGTCTTACACTATAACTCATTGTTTCTTTCTTTCTTCATTTCTTTCCTCCTTTTCTTTTTTTCATTCTTTCTTCTTCTTTCCTTTTTCGTACGCTATCACTTTTTAACTTTTCTTTATTTCTTTCTTTCTTCCTTTTTCTTTATCTTCTCTTATGCTATCAGTCATCTTTAACTTTCATTTCTCTCTTCATTTCTTCCTTTCTTTCATTCTTTTTTCTTTACCTATTTTTTTTTGCTATCATTTTCATAAATTTTCAATTATTTCTAAATTTATTTATCCTTTTGTTTTTCTTCTTTTCTCCATTTTCCTTCACGTTATCACTTATTTTTTAAACTTTTCTTTCTTTTCTCCCTCCCTTCCTTCCTTTCTTTCTTTCGTTCTTCTTTCTTCTTTCCCTATTTTTCTCTTACGCTATCACTCATTTTTTTTTCTTTTTTTTCTTTTCTCTTTCTTTCTTCCTTTCTTTCTTCCTTTCTTTCTTCCTTTCTTTCTTTTTTCTTCTTTCCCTATTTTTTTCTTACGCTATCATTTTTTTAACTTTTTTTTCTTTTCTTTCTTTCTTTCTTTCTTTCTTTTTGTCCTTTCTTTCATTTTTCTTTCTTTCCCTCATTTTTTCTCTTACTTTTCTATTTTCATTTTTTCTTTTCTTTCTTCCTTTCTTTCTTTCTTTTTAACTTTTCTTTATTTCTTTCTTTCTTTTTTTTCTTTTCTTCTTTATGCTATTTTCATCTTTTATTTCTCTCTTCATTTTAACTTTTTTCTTTCTTCCTTTCTTTCTTCCTTTTTTTCTTCCTTTCTTTCTTCCTTTTATTTCTTTTTTCCTTTATTTATTTTTCTTTTCTTCTTTCCTATTTTTTAACTTTTCTTTATCCTTTCTTTTTCCTTTCTTTCTTCCTTTCTTCCTTCCTTTCTTTCTTTCTTCTTTCTTCTTTCCCTATTTTTTTTCTTACGCTATCACTCATTTTTTTAACTTTTCTTTCTTCCTTTCTTTCTTCCTTTCTTTCTTCCTTTCTTTCTTCCTTTCTTTCTTTTTCTTCTTTCCCTATTTTTCTCTTACGCTATCACTCATTTTTAACTTTTCTTTCTTCCTTTCTTTCTTCCTTTCTTTCTTCCTTTCTTTCTTCCTTTCTTTCTTTTTCTTCTTTCCCTATTTTTCTCTTACGCTATCACTCATTTTTAACTTTTCTTTCTTCCTTTCTTTCTTTCTTTCTTTCTTTCTTTTTTCTTCTTTCCCTTTTTTTCTCTTATTTTTCTTACGCTATCACTCATTTTTAACTTTTCTTTTTCTTCCTTTCTTTCTTTCCTTCTTTCTTTCTTTTCTTCTTTCCCTATTTTTTTCTCTTACGCTATCACTCATTTTTTTTCTTTTCTTTCTTCCTTTCTTTCTTTCTTTCTTTCTTTCTTTTTCTTCTTTCCCTATTTTTCTCTTACGCTATCACTCATTTTTAACTTTTCTTTCTTCCTTTCTTTCTTTCTTTCTTTCTTTTTCTTCTTTCCCTATTTTTCTCTTACGCTATCACTCATTTTTAACTTTTCTTTCCTTCTTTTCTTTCTTTCTTCCTTTCTTTCTTTCTTCCTTTCTTTCTTCCTTTCTTTCTTCCTTTCTTTCTTTTTCTTCTTTCCCTATTTTTCTCTTACGCTATCACTCATTTGTAACTTTTCTTTCTTCCTTTCTTTCTTTCTTTCTTCCTTTCTTTCTTTTTCTTCTTTCCCTATTTTTCTCTTACGCTATCACTCATTTTTTCTTTTCTTTCTTCCTTTCTTTCTTTCTTTCTTTCTTTTTCTTCTTTCCCTATTTTTCTCTTACGCTATCACTCATTTTTAACTTTTCTTTCCTTCTTTTCTTTCTTTCTTTCTTTCTTTCTTTCTTTTTCTTCTTTCCCTATTTTCTCTTACGTTCTCACTCATTTTTTTTACTTTCCTTTCTTTCTTTTTTCTTCTTCTTCATCTTTCCACTCTTTTTTTACGCTATTACTCATTTTTTTAACTTTTCTTTCTTTCTTTCTTTCTTTCTTTCCTTCTTTTTCTTCTTTCCATATTTTCTTTTACGTTCTCACTCATTTTTTTAGCTTTTCTTTCTTTTTTCCTTTCTTTCTTTTTTCCTTTCTTTCTTTTTTCCTTTCTTTCCTTTTTCTTCTTCTTCCTCTCTTTCTTTTTCGCTATCACTCATTTTTTTTAAACTTTTCTTTCTTTCGTCTATCTTTTCTGTTTTTATCTCTTTCTTTCACTCTGTCTTTTCTTTATTTCTCTTTTTTTTTTCTTTCTAATTTCATATTTTTCTTCGTCTCCTACCTTTCTCTTTGTCTCTTTCTTCTTCTTCCAATCTCTCTTAGTCTCTCAGTGTTTTCTTCCTTCCTTCTGCCTTCATCCATATTTCTTTCCATATTTCACTTTCATACTTTACGACGATGGCATTCAGGAAACCTTCCAGCAATCTATATCAACTACCGACATTGTATTTCATACAATTCTTTAGCGTTGTTGTTTTTTAAACCACTTAATTAAAGCAAGCCTATCAACTTTTTGACAGCACAAAAACAGGTTTCTGCCGCTGTGAGGCAGAAAACACAATTACAAAAATAGAAGGTCTCTTCAAAAATCACACAGATATTTAATATCAAAGAAAAAATCCCAAGGCAATAGCTTTTTAATTCCATCCAAGATACTTCCATAGAACCACACTTTTATCACTTTTCATTTTTCAAACAAGACTGTGAATACTTTTTTTCTTAGTAGCTATCAGGTGCGTTATCACGCTCTCCCTATTCCCACCCACGCAGTTTCAACGTTTAAATCAACACTAAAAAGGACATGTTAAACATCTGAATTTATATCCGCAGGATGTGCGGGAGGTGTAATGGATAACATCTCAGAATGAAATATCAGAAACACGAGTTCTAATTCCAGCCGATTTCTTACATCCACTTACGCGCAAATGCTATTTGTAAACCTATGAAGCTTTCTCCTCCTATGGGTTAAATAGTAGAAGTTGTATCTGGAAAAATCATTTTTATTCTCAAAAAATGTTAATGCAATATTCACTCCCAAAATATAATTATTTTGACGATATCAAATAGGTTTCGCCTTTAAATTACTGACAAAGTGTTGATAAGCTGTAAAAACAAGTCGATCAGTCACCAACAGCCTCCACAGAATATTAACCATTTTTCAACCAAAATAAAACACAATTTCAATAAATGGCATCTCACTAGCATCACACTCTGAAATGAATGTCTTTTTATACTAAAATTCACCCAATAAAAGGCTCGAAGAAAAACAAAAGGTAGAAAATTACCGTTGTTAATGATAATGATGCTTAAAGTTTGTAATATTAACGAAAGAGGAATTATTAGATGTTGAAGATTATGGATGAGAGTGGGGATGGAGTGGATATCGAATGGGAAATTGGAGGGTCGAGTTCAATTCATGAATCCGTGTCTTTTCCCCCAGTTATGGGTTGAATAGCAGGTTATATTGTGTTCTTTAGCCTTGATTGTCAACCAGTCTACCGCAGAAAGAAATGGACACCTAATGATGGAAAATCTTCTGCTTAGTCAGTCATGAATCGAAAGAGTCATGATTGCCCAAACGTGTATCACATGGCGCTTAACTGACTATGAGGATATATATATATATATATATATATATATATATATATATATATATATATATATATATATATATATATATATATGAGGATAAATAGATATATATATACATATATATATATATATACATATATATACATACATATATATACACACTTATATATATACATATATACACACACACACACACACATATATATATATATATATATATATATATATATATATATATATATATATATATATATATTTAATTTAATTGTCATCTTTGATAATGGCTTATGTAATCCAAAGCTTAGATAGGATTGAAAAAATATGTATCACTATTGTGATTTTCTTTCTTCTTTTAATGATAATGTTATTAAGCTTATCAGACGATATGAAAAGAATTTACATAAAATAAATCGAAAAAACTTGTCTGTATTATTTAATGAAACATGTATCAATGAAAAATGCTGCCTAAATACACACCATGTACATATATATATATATATATATGTGTGTGTGTGTGTGTGTGTGTGTGTGTTTATGATAGACACTCCCGTCGAGTTCGACGTATAAGATTCCGATGACCACGAACTAATTATCTGCATGTCTATGACGAGCATGACTTTTGAAACCGGCTTGAGAATTGCACAAAAGACCACAAACAGTATAGGAGAATGTATTCTATCCAAGTGCAGCAGGAATACTGTTAACTGTCTTATTTTGCCTTCGTGTTTCATGCAGTCGACTATTCCTGAATGGCAGCTGGAACGATACTCTGATCTATTCATAGCTACCTCTTCAAAGTTCTTGAATGGAATGTTGACACAAGAAAGGTTGCTTCACACACACACACACATATACATATATATATATATATATATATATATATATGTGTGTGTGTGTGTGTGTGTGTGTGTGTGTGTGTGTGTGTGTGTATGCAGATGCATACTAAGAAATACGACGAGGGTAATACTAGTAAAAGTGCATAATTGACAATGGTTTATCTTAGGAATTCAAAACAATTTCCCTTAATCAAGAACAAGAGAATTTAAAACAAGTCATTGAAAGAATGTCTGCCTTTTATTCAAATACTTAATAATTAGGTCATCATCTACATTTTTCACTGTAGTGTAATGTTTCTCAACCGTTTTTAGCAATGGCACACCTAAAAGAAAATGGAAATATTACGGTTACTTAACAAAATATTTAAAGGGTATACATTTAAACGTTATGAAATAAAACCATAGACTTAAAAATAAACAGACACAAAAATATGAACTCACTTTATTTTACCTACGCCTGGTGTTTTTCGCAATTTCTGCAATGTTTTGTAGAATGTACGATAAACAAACTCTCATTTCTTCTTCAGTAGAACGTAATCTTTCTGGTTTCTCATTTTTTGTTATTTTGGGTTGAGAAGCCAAATTCACTTAATTAAGAAGTAGAAAATTGGCATAAAATTGATAAAGTCTTTTTAGCTAATGGAGGATAATAATTTTAATACGTATTCATTTATTCAAATACTAACGATGTACCATTACGACTTCCACACAATCACATATACACAGCTGGGCAAAAGTAAGTGGACCCTAAGATAATATTTTTAAAAATTGTCTCTTTTTTCCAGATGATCAACAAATCTTAAATAAAATATATATTCACGAAGAAAAATCTTTATTAAATGAATTCCGACCATTTTCAAAAAAATGTTTATCAAGCTGGAATAAAAATATTAATTAAAAATCATAATGCTCTTACCGCCATATTTAATGATTAGCATCAAATTCTTCTCTTCAAAAGCTGTATAAGGTGCTCGCCAGATATACGACCTATTGCTCCTCCCAAAAAGGTCTTATTTGGCGTCATCCGACTATAAAACCTTTAGCCAGGATGTTTCTAGCTTGTTAATATGAGCTTTGACTTAGCTGAGACAAGCATGCTAGTGTTATTTCGTAAGCAGTGGGTTTTTGTCTGCATTCTGCCATGAAGATTAGCAGTATTCATATTTTATCGTACTGTAGATGTATATTGATTCCAATACTGGTCAGTGACCATTGGAGAACCATAAAGGTCACATCAGGATTTGCCTGGACTTTCCGAACTAGATGTCTACATGTTCTTGCAGTTGGCCATTTCTTGAGTGTGATCCCATCATTCCAAAGGCCTCCCATTTATAAATAATTTGTTGAAAGGTAGAGACGTGCATTCCAAAACGTTTTGAAAGATTTTTGTAGTGTTCTCCATCATTATAGATTTCAACTATGTGATTTTTTTTTAAAGTTTCGGGCAGTTTTAAATTTAGTCTCTAAATGCACACTTCTACATAAACAATGAATTATATTGTTTGACTGCAGTATACAAAAATGAACACGTGTCATTTTGATTTTTACATCTACACAAAATAATTATTTGCACTGGCAACCATGTAAAATAAAATTACAGAGTGTAATTGTAAGGGTTTACTTTTGCACATTTTAATTTTTAATTAATATTTTTATTTCAGTCTCATAAAAATCTTTGAACGTGGTTGTAATTTATTTAATAAAGGGTTTTCTTAATGAATATATGGTTTAATTAAAGTTTGTTCATCATCTGGAAAAAAAGAATGATTTTAAATATTGTCTTAGGGGTTCACTTGCTTTTCACAGGAATGTATATGCATACCATCACAATATTTCGCAGCACATTAAGATGATCACGCGGTAAATTAGTGTGCCACTGTATAGCAGTTTAGAATAACTGCTATAGGTAAACATTGGCCAGGTTTATACTTCGTCCCGAGTAAAACGATAAATTGCATCCGCGTCCTGGGTAAGACGATAAACTACGTCCGCGTCCTGGGTATGACGATAAACTGCATCCGCGTCCTGGGTAAGACGATAAACTACATCCGCATCCTGGGTATGACGATAAACTACATCCGCATCCTAGGTAGGACGATAAACTAAGTCCAACAGCAAGGCCTCTGATTAGGAGGTGTTGAGGAGCGTGGGACCACCACTTAATTGCTGGTGTTTTCAGGTCCACCCTGACCCGGGGTGGTAGCGCCTCTTATGGTCCAAGCTATGCACAAATAGTTAACACCCAAACTTGTGTAAAAATAGGTTTCAATACCAGAAATACTTTGTAATAAAAAATATTACCAGCAATAATTTTTGAAGGAAAAATTATTATCAGCAATACTTTTAAAAAATACTTTCAATACAGTTATTCTTTGAAAAAAATACGACCAGCTAAAGATTTCTTCAAGGAAAAATATTCCCTGAAATAGATTTTTCAAGAAAAACATATTACTAGCAATAACAATTTTGTCCGCATTAAATAACCCCTTGAGGTTGATATGCCGTAAAACAAAATACACCAGGTTTATACTTGAGGTTATGAAAGAAAACATCAATCACGTTTATACTTGAGTCTATGGATAAACCTTACTTTGAAATTGTGTCTCTAGGTAAACATTGATCGAATATATTTAGCCTATAGGGAATCATATACGTAGTCAGATTAACTGATATAAAAAGTTTGATATTCATTAGTCGACCTCTATTGATCTTGTGCCAGACTAAGCAGAGTAGTAGTGATT